GGTTGTTCCAGCATATTGCATTGCTGTCAACGTCTCCCTTTAGAACTGTTCATATTCGCTTCATGTATTTTGGTGCTCCTGCATTAGGTGCATATGTATTTATAAATGGTAAATCATCTTGCTGGATTGATCCTTTTACCGTTGTGCAATACCTTTCTTCATCCTTTATCACAGTTTATTTTAAAGTCTATTTCTTTCTGATGAGTATAGCTACACCAGCTTTCTTTTTGTTTTCATTTGCACAAGATTTTTTCATACCTTCACCTTCAGTCTGTGTGTGCCCTTACTTCTGAAGTGAGTTCTTGCATATCCATGATGCTTGTTATACTCCTTCTCTTTATTCCTTCACAAGTGTAGCTCAGTTGGGCACTGGCACATGCAGGAGAGCCGATTCCTAAATCCAATGAGCAACGAGGAGCCCCTGGAGGTTTTGAGCAAGGAGTAACATGGTAAGCCTCTGGAACACGGGCAGGAGGCAGACAAGAGTGGAGATCTGGGCGATCTCCACAGGCACCTGGACATTTCGATCTGGGGCCCAGGAGAGAAGTTGGGGTGCTACATCCACATCTAGGAATCATCTTCCCAGAGGGCCAGCTGAAGCTGTGAGGGCAGATCAGTGCCAAGAGGTGGAGGACAGCAGGTTCAAAGGTGGAACCTTCCCGAGCAGCCAACCTGAAGTGACCAGAAACTGAAGCTGGTGGGGGGAGCCAAAGAAGGAAATCACCATGGGTGAAGGGCAGAGAAATGGAAGCCAAGAAAGGGCAGCGAGACAGGAAGTGCCAGTGTTGTGCCTGCCCAGGGAGAACAAGGAGTCCAGTGGGTTTGGAGACAAGGCCCCTTCTCTCTGCCACCTGCTGTTCCCCGAGCCAAGTCTTCCTCCCAACAGACCTGCCACTCTGCCCAGACCACCTGCTGGCACCCTGCCCTGCTGGCACACCCCCACCTACCCCATTCACTCCACTTCTGCATCATTGGCTGCACTTACTCTGTTCCAGTGTCCCTTGCCTTTCCCTTAGTCATTCTTCTTCTGGACAATTTCAGTGACACCCAGTACCTGGCCTCCTCAGTATTCCTTCTCCACTCATCCTGTCTACTTCTGCCAGATGACTCTCCCTGAAGCTGAGTGCCAAACACAATGTCCTCTGCGGAAAGACCCTTAACGACTCCCCATTACCTCTTATTTACAGCGAATCACTATCAAGGAGACAAGTCTTCATGTTCCCGTGAGCAGTACAAGCCCAACTCCATTCCCTCCCAGTGGTCTGTCTCTTGTACAACACTGGGCCTCGAAGAGCCCTGCTGATGACACTTGTCTATTTCTGGGGTGTAGACTCCTGTTTGCTGATTTCAAGCCAGCAACGTGACTTCCTGAAAGCAAAGCTGGGGAGGGAGACAGACAATCGCCTTGGGGCCGGTGAGGGGCAGCTCCAGCACACCACTAGAGGGGACAGGGCCATGAGCGGAATGGACAAGCTTGGCTAAGTGTCACACGGCTGTTTGACTTCTGACAAACACCTACTGGATCTTCCGAGAACAATTAGTCCAGAGGGTCTTATGGAAGTCCATACATAACTGCGAGAGTACACAAGAACTCTACAAGGAGAATTCTATGCTCATGATAAAGTGTTATGATTCTAGTTTTCCCTTCACTCAACTTCTTTTCCCCTTGGTTAAATACCCCATCGTCTTGGCACACAGGCCAGTGTGCACATGGCTTGCCATGTCTGCACGCGCTGCATTGCCATCCCTCATTTTTCCTGAATAAATCCTTTTGGTGATAAAACACCTAGTCACTATCAATTTCCAGTCGACACTTCCGTGGTAGCCTCCACTACCATCTCGGTGGGGTGAGATTTGATTGCCTTAAGGAAGTCTGTGTCTTCCCTTGTAGTCTGTTAGGCGAGAAGGCCTGAAAGGATGGCGTAAGCTGTGACCTTCAGGAAGTAGGTGTGGATTCCGGCCGCCCTTGGGCCTTCCATGTAGAGGAGCTCCGACTGAACCTCCACAAAGGGGTTAATGAGTAGGTGAAACAGGCATGTACAGTGTACCAGGGCTTGCACACCAGGTACTTGCAGCCTGTCACCCTCATGCCCTCACGCCTCCCTCCCTGCATGGTAAGCAAAGCCAGAGGAGCCCAGGCAGTCGTGACACAACAATGTGACCTCTCTGCGCTGGACACTATGGCGATCTGCTTCCATTTTGATAAGAGGGCAGACAGTGCCTTTCTGTCAGCACCATAGATGCTGGTCTTTAATGCGTGAGACTGGAATGGGCACAAGCCCCGTGAATGAAGTCGTCCTCTCCGTCCACTTCCCCCAGACTCCAGTATTCCCACCACAGGGCCCACACACTTCAGAGACCCAGGCTTTATTCTCCGCTAGCTCATGTTACAACTGTAGCCACACATCAGAAATAGCCCCCCACAAACACACGTTTCTCCCCTGCAAAGAGCCAGTAACACAGGCGGAACAGCACCCTGTGACACACACTGTGCACGTCCAGCCCGCAGGAAGCAGCAGCACCTTCACACTTAACAGGCACAATCAATCCTTAAATAAAGTTTCTGGCATAACAATGCATTGAAGATGCGACCTTCAGGAACAGGGCTTGGAATAAAACGTCAGCATTAAAAAAAGAAAGAACAAAGAGAAACCATACAAAAGGATGTAGGTCAGTAAATAGCTGGATTTAATCCAAAATTTTAAAAATATGGTCATGGATTGAAATTCATCCCTTTTAAGATATCAACTTTTCGTTCAAAAATAAAACTCTAATGTATAAGTGGTTGAATCTCAAATTATAGTCTGAGCACGTGTACACACATACGTGGTCTGAGTGCACGCACACACGGTCTAAGCATGCACACACACGGGCTGAGCATGCACACGGGCTGAGCATGCACGCACGCACGGTTTGTGTGTGCACACACAGTCTGAACATGTGCACACAAGGTCTAAGCATGCACACACACACTTGGTCTGAGCACGCACACACGTGGTCTAAGCACACACACGCACACACATATGCACACATGGTCTGAGCACGCGCGCATACACACACACACACACATATTGCTGAGTACTGTACTCAAGTGGCTGGCAGACATGATTCCACAGACACCAACAACCAAGCACATAACAGTTACATTAAGTTGGTCGTCTCTGGGGGTGGGGAGAACACTTTCCTACTTGGTACTTCTTAATAGCAAAGTCACAATCAAGTGTATTGCAGTCTGCACAAAGCAACACAAACTTTGGAGCTCAGGGCAAGAGGGAGAAATTAATTACCACAAAATAAACAACTACTTATAGTTTAGTGCTCATGCAGCCCCAGGGAGACCCCGTGGGGAGGCAGGACAGGTGTCACCGTCTCCCAGCCGATCCATCACACAGGAGTCAGGATCAGCCCTTCGGACCCTGAGCCCACAGAGCTCTAAAATCTACTCCCTACCTCTGCTTCTTGGTCTCCCTACCCTAGGGAGTTTTCCCAGAGAAGTGAACAGCTTCTTTTCTGAATTATATAAAAAACAAAATCATCTAAAAAATAAACATTTTGCACCAATGTGGCAGACTCAAGTGGATGAAAAGGGGTAGTTGGATAATTATTTTAGAACTCGTTTTTTTTCCTATTCCCAGAATTTAACACTTAACATAGGACATGTTTAGAGAGATGTAAACACTTCCCACAGCAGCATGGCCTCCCCGGGCTTCTGCATCCCAAGTGGGACAGACATTTGCTGCAAGAGATTTCCCCTGGGGTTGGCCCTGAGGCAGCCCAGGCCAGCAGCTGAGCCCCAAGCCCAGGGGAACAGCCCTGTACACAGGCACACACGGAGCTGCCTGTGTTGCTTTCTTGTCCCTGATTGAGACTCCTAGCACTGTGTGCAGGGTCCTAAGATGAAAACTGTCCCAGTGCCACCTGAGTTCTTCCCAGGAGGCTAGAGCGGGGTTCTGGGCCTCGGGGAACTGCTCAGCACTGACTGTCAGAGGCCAAGGGCCAAGGCTGGGAGCAGCCCTGCAGGAATGAAAGCACACTCGTGCTCCGGCTCCCTGTAGAAGCAGGGGCTCTGAAGGAAGCCATTCGGTCTTCCCATGAAGGTCTGGCAGCAAATGGAAAGCTGTTGCTTGAGGAAACAGTCTCGTACTTTCTGTGTGACCTGGCCCAGACTCACCGTTTGAGGAAATGGGGCAGGTAGGCCTCATGTCCAGCTGAGGACCTACTGAGGCTGAGGATGGCTCCAGAGGGCCTGCCTTGTGCACTAGTCCGGGCCTCACGTCAGTAGCTGGGCTGGGCGGGAGGGCCTGCCTTCTGTCACTGTGTAGTGAGGCTCTGTGGCGAGGGGATGGGCAAATGCTGAGGATATACTTGCTACGTTTTTTAAAATCCCTAAAACTTCACAGGGAAACATATCAAGTGATTTAGTCAAAACATACCCAAAGAATACCTGCCCTGGCCAGTTTAGCTCAGCAATTAGAGCGCCGGCCCGGGGACCGGAGAATCCCAGGTTTGTCCCTGGCCCTGGTTGGGATCGTGCGGGTGGCAACCACTTGGTGTGTCTCTCTTACATCGATGTTTCTCTCTCTCTCTTCCCCTCTCTCTCTCCCTCCCACTCTATCTGAAGATAAATGCAAAAATGTACTTGGGTGAGGATTAAAAAAAAAAAAAATACCTGAAGTGCCTCAGTTAAAAAGTGATCCAGAAATACGTCCTAGGAAAATGATAGGACTTAGCCCAACTGCCTGCCTAACACGTAGCCAGACGTTGGCATTTCAAGGGCTTCCCAGTGCTGGCCCAGGGAAGGAGATGGTCTCAGCAGGTGTCTGGGGCCACTGTCCTCCAGGATGCGGTCCTGTCGCTCGGCATGTGCCTGCACACAGCAAGAGAAAGGTCCCAAGGCCACTTCTCGGGCCTGGAATTTTAAGGAAAGACAAAAACTAAAGGTACATGAAGGTGACTGAATGAATAAAAGAAAAAATAAGTAGCTGAAAGACACATATTATTTTAATGTTTTCAATGTACCTCCCCCCCCCCCATAGAAGAGAAATTCAAAATATAAACTTACATTTATTATTTTACATTCAAGTGAAACTTCCATTTGGGGGCTCAACACAATCTGAGGCCACACTCAGCAATGTCCTGTCTTGGTGCCTTTCCCTTAACCCAGTGGGGGAGTCGGCCCTCTGTTTTTTAAAAACAGTTGTGTAGCCCCAGCTGTCACACTTCACACACACACAGGCACACACACAAATCCAAAAACTTCTACATAGAAAAATAAAGAATAAACATTATCCATCTGTTTTATCCTGTGTACTGGAACTTTTATGTACATGTTTTGTTGTTTTTTGCTTTAATGTTTCAGTCACTGCACATTTTCTCGCCCCCTGCAACCTATGACTCTAGGGCCGGGGCTTGCCACAGTGAAGCAGAGAAGCTACCCTCCTCTTAGGGAGGAAACAGAAAGCCATTTCTTGCTCCCCTTCCAAAGTCTTCCCCACCTACCACCACCTGGGATGTCCCTTGGACGGCCTTCTGGTAAGTGGCTGTCCCATCCTCTCTCTCTAAGGTGTCAGGGCACAGAAGGCCCACCCTGAAAACACCCTGCAAAAATAAGCTTGGTGTGAGGGCAAGGGGATGGAAGCAGGCAGGGAAAACCTTTTAAAAATACAAGATTCTGGAATCACTGCCCACAGCCTATTCCTTTAGTACGGAGCTCGGGTCTCCAGCTTGTGCTTGGTGAGGAAGTACTTGAAAAACTCATAGACAGACCAGGAAATGGCAGTGGAGGGCATCTGGTAGACAACGCGGGCCTGCATGCCCTTGAAGTAGCCGGGCAGGCCGTTGAGCCGGTACACCGTCCGGAAGGCGTTGGCCATGCCCGACAGCCGGCCGCTGATGTTGGCCAGGTTGAGGGCCATGTTCTCCTGAGTGTTGAGGAGGGTCTTACAGACGTCCAAGGGGGTGGTGGCGGCCGCAGCGAGGGCCCCAGCCAGGCCACCTGAGATGATGTGGGACTGCGGGTTGTAGCCCCGGTGAGGGTTGACCTGCTCCTGCAGGAACTCGTAGGTGATGAAGTGGATGGACTGGAAGGGAATGTTCATGGTCAGCTGTGTGGTATAGCTCCGGTAGAAGGCCCTCAAGCCCTCAGTCCTCCAGACCGTCCGGATGCAGCTGAGGGCCGACCGGTGCGGCGAGTTGTACATCTGCATGCGCTGCTTCACCACTGTTGTCGGGGCCGCGGGGCATAGCGGGCGGGCAGTCGGGGCAGTGGGTTGGTTTGGCCCCACCCGGGGTCGGAGTGAAATGGGAAGCCAAGCCATAAAGAGAAACAAGCAAGTTTAGACACGCTGGTAACAGGTCACAGAGAGATAGCACACACACACAGCCCCCGCCTGAAACCACAGAGGGCCAGCCCCAGGCAATCCCTTCTATTTCCTGAAGTTTCTCCAGCTGAATCTTGTGTAAGGTGGTTCCTCAACCAGGACACCACTCCGATTCCCTGATCTGACCCTCAGATCCTGGCTGCCTGGGGCATCGCTCCCACCATAAATCAACATCCTGCCCAGCCTGCTGCCTCCTGGACACGTGTCGCATCCCCTCTCCTGGTCCGGACCTCCCAGTGTCATTAGCCTCTGGGTCACAGTGCCCTTGGAAGGCACTACAAGTATGCCAGCCAAGTGCACTCACCACCTCCAGTGAAGACCCTGCTCTGTTAATACAAATGTAACTATGGGTCAAAGGCCACGAGGCAAATGAGTGCCACCGTGGCCCCTTCGGCTTGGAATTGTACTCATCCCCTACACACTGCCAAAATGAACACACAGTGTGTTTTCTTTACTGTTAAAGAAATAAAGTCTTTAAATCAAGGAGAAGAGGTGGGAGTTGAAACTCATTTTTTTTTTCTCCTTTGAATAACAGAAACAAAATTTTCACCGGGTTGGCATGGGCTCACTGGTCACTGACCAGGTCATGCATAAATCATACCACAAAGAGAAATAAATACACCTCCCAATCGGACCCATCATGTCCCAAGGACAGAACAAGCCCCCTGTCTGCTAGGAAAGGGGAGGCAGCTGAGCACAGGTAAGGAATGTTAACCTTAAAAGACAAAAACAAACTTGTAAGACAAAACTTAAAATGTTGACATTTTTACCTCTAATTCTCCCTTCTGGAAAGGGGCCATTTTCTTGGGGAGAAAGGCAGAGAGCACCCCTCATCTCACAGAAACTAACCCAGCCGAAAGCAGGCCCAGCCCCGGGGCCCCACCATTCAGACCCGTTGGCTGGGACCACTGGGCACAGAAAAGCTGACAGAACTTGAGTCTGCACAGCTGAGAACTGTTCTCTAATGCTCCCAAAATTCCAAAGGAAAAAAAAAAAAAAAAGATAATGTGGAAGGAGAAAGCTACAACAAAAACGGCCAAACATTCACTTATGAAGCAGAGGGATGCATACATGGGGGCTCATGATCCTCGTCTCTACATCTGCAGTGTTTGAAATGTTCCACGATAATTTCCATTTTATTTTAAAAAAGCAAACTGAACATAAGCTTCCATGAGGAGCCTTGGACAGGTTCCCCCTAAATCTGTCCAGGGTTGAGAAAGGCTGGCAAGGGCCCGAGGTGTGTGTGAGTGTGCGCGCGTGTGCACACACAGATTTCAGGCTATTGCAAAAGAATCACCAGGAGAGCTTGTTAAACCAAATTCCCTGTCCCTATTCCCAGATTCTGATCGAGTAGATCTGGGATAGTATCTGAAAATCAGCACTTCTAATGTGCTCCCATGTCTGACAGCCGATGCTGCTATCCCCATGTCGCCCTGTGCGCAGCTCTGTTTGAGAGAACAATGCCAGTTCAAAAGCTAGTGCCCCTTCTTGAGGCCTTTTAATAAAATGTAAAAATTTTTTCCTACTGCTTATTCTGCCTGGGGGCCAGGAGTCCCCTTGCCAGACCTTCTGCCCCCCCAACCCCCACTTCTCCTGCCCCTCTGACGTCCCCACTGCCACTCCCTCGGACCACGGAACATTACCTTCTGCTGGGTTCATTACTGCATCGTGGAGCAGGGTGGCCATACTCCCAGCTATCCCTGCAAAACAAACTCCAGAAAATTACCCTCTGGGACCAGGTGCTCTGAGAAAGTTCCTGGAACCTAAAAATCAGACAGAACCCTGGGTACAGCTTTCAAAGAAGCAAAATTCACTACCAACTCCAGTTAGGTGAGAGCTGACTCTTAAAACCCTAAAGTAATAATGGAAATACTAGATAGAAACAGGAAGGTAACACAGGCACAGGTACCCACATTTTAATCTTATAGAAACCTCATTTTCTCTCTGGTAGTCAAATCTGGGCAAAGATTAGACCTGCTAACTCTGGGTGGTACAGAACACATAATTCGTGGCTTTTCCCACTGTCTAGGTGTCAATTCTAGCTTGTCCCTCGCCTCTACCGATGAACTCACTGCTCACTCTGCTCTTACGCTGGGCAATCAGAGGGAATGATACCACGCATATGGCTGAGAGGGAGAACACACCAGGAACGAAATCTTTAAGAAAAGTCCTCAAGGAATAAAACCTAGGCATTTTTAAGCACAGGGGCAGGGGAAGAGGATGTCAGGAAGAGGGTTAATTTGCAAAGACATGACTTGTCTCAGAGATGGCCGACCCAATCACCTGGCTTCAAGGATCGGGAATTTCAAAAGCCGGATTCAGGCCGGATTTTGCTTTTGGAGTTGGGTTCCTTCCCTCTATGGGTCACATGCCCAGTCATTAAGATTACCACTGGAAGGTGGGGAATGAAGGACACCAGGATAAGGCTTCAGAAATGCATATACACCCTCCCTCCCTCCCTCCACACACATTTATGACTATCCCCAGAAAGGTCAAAGTGCAATCAGAACACACACCACAGTGAAGCGGTAACAGCGCAGGGCAAAACTTGATAAACTGGGTGCCACCAAACTGCGGTCAAGGGGTCCAGTGACCAAGGAGCTAAACTATTACATAAGGCAGTTTCAGCAAAAGGAGAGCCATGGACTCAGGGTTGGCCTCCGAGGGGGCTCTTAGTGACCATCTCAATAAATGCAATTAACGCTCAATTTCTGAAAGAAAAACAAATGCTTACAAACCAGCCAGGTACACTCATTACTACCAAGATTGGCTGATGGGAAAGACACTTGGGTTCTGAGCAGAACAGAAAGAGAAAGGAAAAACATTGTTGCTGGTCACATCTATCTCTCCATTGGTGAACAATTCATTTTGTTAAAATAAGAACGCTGTATCCTGCCCTCCACAGTCCCATGCCAGACCCAAACAGAAACCAAAAAAGCCAAACCCCACAGGAGAAGCAAATAGAGCCACTCAGCTGGGCCCAGTAAGACACATCTAGGTAAGAGCTGCCCTCCAAACTCAAGCCCCCACCCCCCTCCCTCAAAACAGCAAAAGGAAACTATTTCGGCCCTTGATCGCAGAGAGATGCAACTCAGACAAACAGAGGAGAACGGGTGAAATCCCCAAATCCCCAGAAGCTTAAGGTGGGAAAGGTCGTCTGCGCTGGAGCAAATCCTTTGTCAGCCATAAAACTTCTTGACCTTTTAAAGCTTAGTTAGATCTTGACGTTGTAGAGACCTGTTGAACCAGTTTTTAAATAGTCTCAAAGAAGCTGTCCAGATAACTTTTTTTTGGAATCCAGCATTCAAAAGTTTTGTTTCTATTCAGGGTGTTTTTCCTAGATCTGATCATTAATGGCTTTTAAATGTTTAAAAAAACAAAAATAAACAAAAAACCCACACAACAATGAAAACTGAAACACCTCTGTCACCAATTTCCCCAGGCTTCAGAAAGCGAAGGGGAACAAAAAAAGCATGTGTGTGCATGTGCGTGTATTTGTGCGTATGCGCACACACGACTCTAGAGTTCTTTATTCATAAGCAAGCGTGGCGGAGACGAGGCATCAGGCTGCTGGGTCACAGGGAGAAGAACCCTGGGGAAGGGTCTGTTGAGGACAGATCTTTCTAACTCCAGACAAACGCTTTCAAATACCGTTGGCTAGGTGGCTGTTTCCTTGGTGGTGGAAAACGACATTTAAAGTCCTTTTCATATTCTCATAGCAGGCAAAATACATGGCGTGGGCGGGCCCTGCGCCCATCATCATCACATTGAGTCCTCGCAGGGGCCTCCAGAAGCCTTCAGTCCGTATGATTTTCTTGAGGGCTCCGTAGATGCTTGTGTACTGGGCTTTGGGATCTGGATTCAAACTCTGCATTCGTGTCTGGGGGAGGGCAACAAAACAAGAAAAGAGGGGTGTTAGTGAGGGCAGTAAAGAGGGGAGACCCAGACAGAGTGAGAGAAATGAGTCCATTTTCATAGTTTCACAAAATTTATTGGTGAAAACACTGATTCTCTCCTTCCTGAATTGCTCACTCCACACCCCCCTCCCTCCCAGACATATACACATTCACATAGATTTCATTAACCCAGCAAAGGGGGAGAAGAATGAGGGGCAGGATTTAGAGTAAGAAGACTTGCCCTAACACGGGCAAGCTGTGTGACTTCTGATGAGTCCCTTAACCTCTCTGTGTTTCCAGATCCTCTACTATAAAAAGAAAATAGCCTGGCCAGTGTGGCTCAGTTGGTTGAGTGTTGTCCCGCGCACTGAGAGGTCGATGGCTGGATTCCCGGTCAGGGCACATGCCTGGGTTATGGGCTCGATGCCCAGTCGGGAACGTGCAGAAGGCAGCTGATCAATGTTTCTCTCTCATTGATGCTTCTCTCTCTCTGCCTCTCCCTTCCTCTCTCTCTAAAATCAATAAAAACATGTTTTTAAAGAATAGTCATGGGGATATAAAGTACAGCATAGGGAATAGAATCAGTAATATTATAGTAACTATGTGTGATGCCAGGTGGGGACTAGAATTATCAGGGGTATCACTTCATAAATTCTATAAATGTCTAACCACTACCCTGTACATGTGAAACTAATGAATACTGAATGTCAACTGCAATCGATAAATAAAATAAAATAACCAGGTTTTCATGAGCATCAAATGAAACAATGCACATGAAAATCTTCAATAAACTCAGAGACCTAGTCAAACATGAGAACTGAGTGTTGGCCCTGGCCAGTTTGGCTCAGCGGTTAGAGCGTCGGCCTGAGGTCCAGAGAGATCCGGGTTTGGTTCCTGCTAAGGGCACGTACTTCGGTTGCAGTTTGTCCCCTGCTCTGGTTGGGTCGTGCGGGTGGCAGCCGCTCAATGTGTCCCTTTCACGTTGATGTTTCTCTCTCTCTTCCTCTTTCTCCCTCCTGCTCTATCAGAATAAAAAATGGAAAAATGTCCTTGGGTAAGGATAAAAAAAAAGAACTGAGTGTTGTCCTGGCAGGTGTGGTTCAGTTAGTTGGTTGAGCGTTGTCCCGTGCAACAAAAGGTCACTGGTTCAATTCCCAGTCAGGGTACATGTCCAGGTAGCTGGTTTGATCCCCGGTAGGAGTACATACAGGAGGCAACCAAAGCATGTTTCTCTCTCACATAGTTGTTTCTCTCTCTCTGTCTCCCTCTCCCTTCCTCTCTCTCTAAAATAAATAAAAACTTTATTTTTTTAACTGTTATTATTATCCTGTCATTCCCACTCTGCTTCCAAAGTCTCCCGTGTCCTCACTTATCTGAGACCTCCAAGTTCTGAAAGTTCCTGTTTAGACCCATCACGAAATCTCCCCCGAGTTCTCAAGCCCGTCAGGCATTTTTGCCATAAGCATTTTGCTGTAAACGTCTTTGCCACAATCACTTTTGTGGCACAATTAATTGGCCATAAGACAATTTTGCTGTAGAAAATAATTAAAAATAAAAGAGTGACATTAAAAATACAAAACATAAAAAATTAAAAAGACTTTATTGCACAAAATGAAAATACATCGTCTTCCAAGTGTTCGGTATGAAACGTTTGTTTGCTTGTTGATTCATCTCCTCATATGGCATCACACTTTTTCTTTTCACTGCAATTTCTTCCTTCATTAGAGAGGTACCAGTTTCCAGCTAAGAACAGATAATGCTCTTGAAAACTGTTGTGAATTGGTAGCAACCTCTTTGATATCCGTTTGCATAGCTTGATGAACTTGCTGGTGACAGGTGTGAGGGCTGACTGTGGTCCCCGAAGGGCTTGCAGACTGACATGTGATCATTTCCTACAATAGGACGCAATCTGGCTTTACACGTAGTTCTGTAATCTGCTTTATACATACTTGTTACCATCCACTATTTTAAGTCCACCATGTGTACTCGTTGCTGTGTAGACCATCGTGAGGGTTGAGATTTATGTAACATAAAGATGAGAGGAACTGTGAGAACTTCGTCAATGAGAAATGAAACCAAACTCACAACTAGCTTAAATACCTGATGTCTGCCAAGTTGTAAACCAAACTGTCAACTAGTTATTTTTATCTTTCACAGTGAAGCTGCCTTATGGCCAATTAGTTTCCAGTGAACATGCTCATGGTCAAAATACCTTGAACCCCCTCCTCATTTCCTCTAAATACTTCTTACATTTCATCTTTACAAGATGACACTTAAATATAAATGATCTTGTTCTTAATTTTTCCATATGCAGTCTTGACTTCTCAAGGAGAGACCGCTTCCCCGACTGTCAGGGCCGCCATGCTTCCCGGGCCTTCGGTAGATGTGCTGGTTAATCCTGTGCATCCACCTGGTGAGGCCATGTTACCCACATTGGTACTAAATATGGTCAAACACTAGTCTAGGTGTTGCTGTGAAGATACTTTTTTTTTACATAAATTTTTTTTCCCCTTTATTGATTTTAGAGAGAGAGGAAGTGAGAGGGGGAGAGAGACACACACACACATCGATGAGAGAGAACATCGATTGGCCACCTCCTGCATGCCCCCAATTGGGGATCGAACCAGTGACCTCTTGGTACACAGGTCAATGCTCAACCACTGAGCCACCCCGGCCAGACTGTGCAGGTACTTTTTAGATGAGATTAACATTTAAATCAGTAGACTTTGAGAAAAACAATTACCCTCCATAGGGTGAGTGGGCCTCATCTAATCTTTTGAAGGCCTGAAGAAAAACTACATACTGATGTCCCCCAAGGAAGAAAGAATTGTCCCCAGAAAGTCTTTGGACTTGAGCTGTAACATCAACTCTTCCCTGTCTCCAGCCAACCTGCCCTGCAGATTTGGGACTTGCCAGTCTCCACTATCACCCAGTTTGAAGAACCACTAAATAAAGACCCTCCAAATCCTACCCTTTCTAATAACCTCCACCCAGCCTGTGCAATAACAGAATCACCTCTGGTTATGTGAGGAGGGTGGGAAGGGTGGGGACAGACAGCGGTGGGGCACAGGGTGCCAACATCATCTTTCTGAATTCGAGCTCTGGGACTTCGAGCAGTGTCCTTCATTTGGCAGCACGAAGTCATCCCCCAGAGAGCCATTGGCCGAACACAGTAACATGGGAAACACCTTGTACGGATGGGCAATCAACAATGACCAACCCCTCTCCTACCCACCCTTTATGTATGTGAAGGCCTCAGGAGGGTCTCTCCCTTAAAGCTTCTCACGTTAGCCTACAGGGGAAATTTCAGGTTGACCTTTCACCTCCCCTTTTTAAAATTAGAGGTGAGGCAATGGGAGAAGTAAATATCACTGAACACAAACGCACCATCCTCCTATGGGAAAAAGAATAACAATGGGTATCTCTGCACACTCAGTGGACTGCTCCATCCTCAGCAAGTGGTCTACTCCAGGGCAGGCCACGTTTAATGACACATGCCTAGAACAGAGCGAGGCAAGTGGCCCATGAGCACGAAGGACCCAGTCAAGGCCCCTCTGGGACCATCACTGCCATGGTGGCCAGGTTTTGGGCCAAAGCCTCTTCAGTCCTGCAGCACCTTCATTTCCTCAGCCTGCCTGCAGGGAGCACCCACTTGGGGTCAGGCACCAGGACAGAGAAGAAAAGTCGATAGGGAACAAGGAAAGCATGAGATAAGGGAAGAATGACACAGACCGTGCAGGGTGCCAAAAAGGAGCTCAGAAAAACCAGGAATGACCAAGCTGCATCATTACTCATGGTGTTTTTCCACAGAGAGGCTGAGAGAAGCCGGAGGCGGCCAGGTGAGAAGTTAAGCAGAAGAGGCCAGAGCCAGAAAGGAAATCATTGGTTTAGTTTCTCTTTTTCCTGTTCAATGACTTTGCCAGTAACACATACAACTGAGAGCTGGGCATTTTCTATCTACCTGTGGACCAGAGAAGAAGAAAAAGTCAGGGTGGTGGAGACAACCCAAGTGTTCATCAATGGACGGATGAATGGATAAGCATATTGGTCCATCCATAAAAAGGAAGGTGATTCTGACACCTGCTACAACATGGATGACCTTGGAGGATGTAATGCTAAGTAAACTAAGCCAGTCCCAAAAGGGAAAATATCATATGATTCTGTTTATATGAGGTATCTAAGAGTAGTCAACTTCATTGAGACAGAAAAGTAGAATGGTGGCTGCCAGGAGCTATCGGGAGGAGAGGAGACCTGGCGTTTAAAGGGGACAAAGTTGGCCCTGGCGGGTTTGTCTCAGCAGTTAGAGCATTGGCCCTCGGACCGATGAGTCCCAGGTTCGGTTCCAGTCAAAGGCACGTACCTCGGTTACAATTCGTCCCCGGCCCTGATTGGGGTCAAGTGGGAGGCAACCACTAGATGTGTCCCTCTACGTTAATGTTTCTTTCTCTCTCTCTCTCTCCCGCTTGAGCAAAAATGGAAAAATATCCTCGGGTGAAGATTAAAAATAAATAAATAAATAAATAAATAAATAAATAAATAAATGGGACAATGTTGCCCTGGCTTGGTGGCTCAGTTGGTTAGAGCATCATCCCGATACACCAAGGTTGCAGGTTCGATCCCCAGTCAGGGCACAAACAAGAATTAACCAATGAAGGCATAGATAAGTGGAACAACAAATCAATGTTTTTCTCTCTCTATCTCTAAAAATCAATAGGTGAATTTTTAAAATTTGAATGGAAACAGAATTTTGCCGAGTTCTACAGACGGACAGTGGTGATGATGGCACAATGTGGGTGTACTCAGGCCGCTGAACTGCACACTGGGAGACAGTTAAGCTGGTGCCTATGACGCCACGTGTATTTTATCACAGTTTTTATTTTCATTTTATTTACTTATTTTTGCTGAGGTGCTATTTTTTTTTTAACCACAATTTTTTAAAAGGTAGAAAAAGGAAAAGGAAAATGAAGTAGGATGCACAAAGAGA